ACTGATTTTTAACTCGCTGTTTTTTTTTGTTTTTTTTTTTACATTTCACTTTAATCTACTTTCATTGCTTTTACCGGTTGTTTGGCGCAGATAGCCTAGCTGCTTTGCGCCATAAAACACCAACCAACCAACTTTTTTATAATAAATTATATTGTACCTCATATAAAATGTAATAATTACGATAAAAGCTACAGTGGATGATAATGACATTATTACCATTTGTTCTTATACTGGGAAGTCTTAATTATTAGAAATTAAATGTTTCACTCTGAAGTATCAACAAAAACTAATGGTACAACAATATTTATCATATAGTTACACTTCCACAGAGGCTTTACGATATATCAATGTCAAAGTATGCATATAAATCTGTCTAAAATTGTATATCATCTATAAAAGTTCTAATTCAATTAAAAGAAAACAAATGTTAACACTTTCCAGAAAAATACAGTGAACTGTTCGTCTAGATAACATAATCTAATTGGATCGGTGTATTTAGTGATTAGAACTGATAAGTATTACCTAAATCCCCTAAATGGATTCTGTTTGTAAAGAAGACGGAACTATTCGACAGTACTAAAATTTCTTTCTGGTTATCACAAAAGGATTTTGATCTTTAGAGGACTACCTGATCTTTAGTACTTAACTACCATTTATGCTACCATCTTAACAACATCAACTAAATGGATCCCGACTTTTAGAGGATATACTTCATCTGTATATCCTAAGTACTCTGCGGACTACTATCTTAGAAACGCAAACTGAATGGATCCCAATTTTAAGAGACAGATTTCATCTGCAAAACTTAAGTACCTTCTGGACTACCCCTCTAGCAACCAAACTAAATATATCGTGATTTTTAAAAGATGGATCTGATCTGCAAAACTTAAGTACACTGTGGATTACAATTTCAGCAACTCCAACTAAATGTATCCTAATTTCACAGGATAAAAATGTTTTGATGCTTGCTGATTACCGTCTTATTGATATATCTTAGTATGCAAAAACTGAGTCTTTCAATTCTCCAAGCGATTACATTATTGTAGTGTTCATGATTCACTTAAAACACTAATAATATCTGTCTTGACTTCTTTGTAAAACATTCAGTCTTATGATGATTGCGAATGACTTTCAGTATCAGACGAATTATTTATTTTTTTCAATCCGTATTGCTAAGATCAAGTGACAAGACCTCACTTGGTGAAAAGGAATACACCGCTGTCGTTTTATCACTGGTATCTGAATATCTGAAAATTTCATTACCCAGTTTGTGGCCGGATTCAAAGTAAAATGAATATTCTGAGAGATGATGCTTATACTTAACACTAGATCTTTCTTATTTGGACCTGAAAGCATTGATCTTAGTAACTTTAGTCTTAGCAGGAACCTTACCTTGATGACCAGTGAGAAAAGTACACAATTTATCAACTTTAATTTCTGGAGAGTTCCTGTGAGAACAATTTACTATCTTGTGAGTTTCAGAGTGAATATTCTGTTCAGTGTTATTTTGATAGTGTCCACAGGTTTTCCGGTGTTTGCGAAGAGAGCTTGGATCAGTGTACCTCTTGCTGCAGCCTTCTACTTTACACACATAAGTGTTTCAACAAAATGTGTTCGTGTATGCTTTCATCTATCACTAGAGTTAGTGTAAGCTTTGCCACATTTTTCTACGTGACACACATAAGGTTTTCCCCTGTATTACATCGCATGTGAATTTATAAGTTTGTAGTATTAGTAGCGCTTTGACTTTAATTCTTTTTCGTTTGAAAACGATTCCAGTGTATGTTAAGCCTACCTTATGTTGTTAATGCATTATCACGTTCTTGTCGTCCATTTCATTATACGGTCAAAAATAGTAAAATAATGACTTATTGGGGTTTTTGTTACAGCCTCAGAAATTAAGTTGTTTACAATCATTAATTATTTTTAATAAAACGTTATTATTATTCTGAGTGAGCATCATAACATACACATAGATTCATTAAAAAGAAAATTACCATAAAACTGGATGATTAGGATCAGATTTTTTTAAACGACGATAGAGCTATGCCTCTCAATCCTCCAGCTATGATTTAATAACAAATAAAACTGGTGGATAGATAGTCCAATGATAGCTCAATACTTTAGCCCATATATTTTTCAATTTATCACGAATCTCTAATCACCCCACTACTAGGGTGTATATGGACAGGCAAAATATGTTCACAAAAATGAAAGTACCAAAAATAAACATAATAGCCATAATCTTGTTTGCCATATTAGTGTCTTGAAAGAACAATAGAATTATATTAGTATACAAACTTACTTTCTCCACGTACAAAATATCAGTAAAACAGATATCAAATGTGAACCTTGAGCACTGGTGGAAATCATATTGATGACGTGTACTTCATCTCACATATTTAAAGTAATGAACGGGAACCAGCTACGAGACTTCAAGTGTTTCGAAAAGGAAGTAAACAGATGTAGACTTAAAATATAGATATTATATAAACGATTTAAAGTAAAAACTGCATCATTTATAAAAGGAGTGTTGTGAGTTACTGAAAGCTAATATCATGGAAACACTGTAGTAATCCAACCAATAGTTCACTTGACATTAAAGTAAAGTAAATTTTGTTCCTAATCAGCCATTTTTACGGTACTTAAAATGCATTTGTTTGTGAATTTGTTTGGGACGATAAAGCTTCGTTGAAAACATCCTGTCTGGGCACTCGTGCAGTACTTGGGCTTCGATTTAAGCAAAACTGCGTTTAATGCTATTGGTGGTTAACTAAACCCAGAAGAAGTCCTTCGGTTTAAAAACCTAGACAATTAAAATGTCACCTAGTTTTCTGTTGACTTTACTCATTTGCCTAATGGGATACAGTACGAATAAATACACAAGCAACCAATAAAGTAAATTCTCTGAACATCCAACTACTAGAGTCTTCAATAAATATGTGAGAGTGATGATCCCAGATCTTGGCTTTAGCATCAGTATTTTAGGCTTAGATATCCTACATAAATTACTTGTGAGTATAGCTTATATACAGGATAAAATGTAATTCTTCAATAAAAACGTGAAGTGTCAACGAAAATATACACAGAAAATGTGGACTGTAAAATTGTATTTAGATAAAGATATTCCAGTTTTTCTAATACACACGTAGTGCTTTGTAGCGTTCTACAAGCATAATCTCATGTTGCATCACCAGTTAATGCTGTGTTGGAAGACATGCAAACCATTTTGTTTCCAAGAGCAAGATCCTTCCAATTATCGTTTGTACTTATGGTTAACAAGTTTGTTATGGTTGATATGATGCGTGAAGGAAGGACAATCAAAACTATCACTACAGTTAGTTTTACTTAAGGTGCACTGCATCGATGTACACCTACACAGTCATCAATACATCTAAACTCACTGAAAATTTTAGATCAGACAAGCAGATAAAACTAAGAAAGCTACTGACTATCTGTTGGATCAGATGGCCATCTTGGAATAATAAATATTACCAAGTATCATATAGATACTGGAATCATGCGTCCTGTAAAGCAACTGCCACACAGGCTTCCAGGGATAATCCAACACTGAGAGAGCTTTAATACCGAAGGACAAATACATTCATCCTTCATATGGTGCCTTGCTGTTGTCATTGCTAATTATATTAAAAACAAAAAGGAACAACAATATCCTCCATGGACCAACCAAGTGAATGGGGTAATGCATTTTAACTCAC